GGGGCGGGGGGAGGGCGAGGGGGAGGGCGAGGTCTAGAGCCGCTCGATGTCAGAGATTCTCGATTTATCCTCGCCCGAATTGGTCCTTGTCCTGGCCTCGTCTTACCTCCGCGGCGGCGGCAGCCTGCGACGAGGGGAGGGCTCAGGGGCATCGGGAGGGGGGGGATAGGCACAGGGAAGAACGCATCGACCCCCAATCGGCCATTCATCGCCGATAGGGCCCGATCTTAGCAGGCCGCGGAAACAGCACGGCCGTTTGTTCATCGTTTCCGAAACAGCGCCTCTTGAAAATGGAAGCGGCAACAAGAACGGCAACTGGAAACGGCGAAACAATGGCTCGAAAAACGAAACGGGAACCAGAATCGGCAAGAAAACGGCAAAGGACTTGGAACAAACTCCATATGGTTCCAGTAACGAAAATCGCCTTGTCGTTTCCAAAGCCCACTACGGGCCCGATAGCCCAAACCTGCTCCCGAGCGTGCGAATTCGCCATCGGGGGCCTATCGCGGATCTGTGTGTGAACCAGTCCCCCACCTTTATCGTTGCCCCTCACCAGGTGGCCTGCTGGATGCCTCGGCCGTTTCCTACAACCCTCGGCAACATTGACCTTAGAAGTTGTTGGCGCGCCCCTGCAGTGTCGCTCCCTCTCGCCCCGTCAGTGTCGCCCCCGCCCATGTCGAATCTGAGCGCAACGCGGTCCGGGCCGGCGCGATTCCGAAGCTCCACGATGACCGACATTGGAGAAGGGGCGCCAACCAGTATTTCGCCCGTACCCCATGCCCAGAGCGCACTGGACAAAAGTAGATTGCGCCGCACATGTTTGAGGTACCTCTGCGGGTGCCAGGAGATCTGCGACAGAACAGATAAACACAGACGCGCTCCAGTGGATGATTGCTGGTCCTGGGAAGGGTGGCGGTGCATATATCACCACTGACAGCCAGCGATGTCATACACCGCCGCCCTCCCTGAAGGCACATGCATGATACCGGAGAAACCTCAATCAGATGTTTTGGGGGGCTATAGGGCTCTATGGCTATAGGGAGATAGGGTTATTGGGCGATTGGGCTATAGTGCTATAGGGCTCTAGGGCTCTAAGGCTATAGGGTTATAGGGCTGTAGGGCTGTAGAGCTATAGGGCTATTGGGCACCCGGGCACTCGGGCACCCGGACACCCCGGGGCACCTCCGGGCACCCCCCGGCACCCGGGCATCCCCCGGGCCCCTGGGCACCCAGGCCCGGCCACCGAGCTCGGCGGCGACGGGCGCCTGGGCACCCGGCCCGGCCACCAAAATCGGCCGCGACGTTGACTTAACCATATGAATCCGCCAGAACCCCTTGCCGACAGAGGCAAGCTCTGACTGGGGAAAAGAATCCGCTGGAGGGCGTGTGTGTGTGTATACACCTTCGTGGCGCAGGAGGCCCCGAGGAGATTCTGCCAGGCGCCCTCGGCGGGTGGCCCTACGGTCAACCCGCATCCTTGCCTCCTCGGTGCATGCTTGGCCACTTTCGCTGGCCGCGCCCCGCTCGCATCCTCATCGCGCCTCCTTCTGATACGGGCCGACTGCATGTTCTTCTATCCCGGTTCCGACCGTAGTCGAGGAGGAGGAGAAGGGGGAGGAAAAGGGGGAGGAGGAGGCGGAGGAAAAGAGGGAGGAGGAGGAGGCGGAGGAGGAGGAGGAGGAGGACGAGGAGGAGGACGAGGAAGAAGAGGAGGAGGACGAGGAGGAGGATGTCATCCACTTGGGTGCGTCGACTCTGGCGTCGTGAGGCGAGGCGGGGAAGGAGCGTCGGGACCGTCGAGTTGGGGTGGAGGGTCGGGTGGGGCGGCGGGTAGGGCGTCGGGAAAGTGGGGGGACGCGGGGGAGGTCGCCAGGAGGGTCGTCGCCCTAGTCCTCATCTCCCCTGGAGTTGCTTTGCTCGTCTCGGCCAAGCTCAGGCTGCTGCGCAGCGTTGTCGTAGAGGCCCTCGGGCAGGCCGTTGGGCCGGCGGCGCGGTGGGCCAACGGGTCGGCCGTGGGGTTGGCCGGGCCAGGCGACGGCTTGGGCGGCGTGGAGGCGGTCGGGTTGGGCGGCTGGTCGGCCGTCGGTTGCGTCGTTGGGTCGCGTCCCGTCGGCGGGTCGGCGGTCAGGGACGGTGTCGGATCGGCCGAGGGGTCGGGGGCCGTCCGTCTTGTGGGCCGTCTGGCCGTCCGTGCAGGTACTGCTGGCCGCGTAGCCGAGGCAGTCCCAGTCAGAAGGCGGGCGCGTTCCGTCGGCTCTCCTGGCGAGCTGCCCCCCCGGAGCGCACCGCCTGCACTGCCGAGGCGGACTCCCAAAGAGGGGGGGGGGGGAGCCGCCGGTATAGAGCCCTGCGCGCCGCCGCGCGGGTCTCCGGGCAGGCTGCGCTGCCAGGCGTGGGAGGAGCAGGATGGAAGGAGCAGGCAGGCAGCGGCGCACCGCGCAGGGCGGAAGGCCGGGGCCGGCCAGGCGGGCGGGCAGGTGGATCAAGCAGTGGCGGCGCGTCCTGGCGCGCCTATAGCCCTGCCAAACAATGTTATAAGAACCTTTTGTGGTTTCCACGAAATGTTCTTAGAACATGTCTGGCTGGGGCCGTCTTGTTGTAGCACATGAGGCTTAAGTTCTAAGAACATTGTTTTTGTTTTTAGAGCATTGCTGGGTTCTAAGATCATTTCGTGGTAGGACTATAGAAATGCCGGGACGGTCTGTCCCTGCCCAAGTGGAGGGGGGCCGGGCGGAGGCAGCAGGCAGGGAGCAATAGGAAAGAGAGAGAGGCAAGGAAGAGGTGGAGAGGGGAAGCAACCGCAAGCAGACAGGCTGGCGCGGGGTAGTCGTCGGGCAAGGCGTCGGGAAGGGGGTGCGGCGGGGCGTAGGGCTGGGAGTCGGGGGTGGGGGTCGGGCAGGGCTCTGGCGTCGGGCAGCGCGGGGCGTCGGGTCGTCTGTCGGCGCAGGCTTCGTCGTGGTCGTCGTCGCCGCCGCGGCGGGCGTCGTCTGCGTCCGCACCGGGGGGGCAGTCGGGAGGGGGTGGGTCGAGCGGGTGTCCTTGGGTGCTGCGTCGAGGGGTGGCGTCGAGTCGGCCGCAGGGTCGGTTGTCGGGTCGTCCATCCCGTGAGCAGTCTGGCCGTCCGTGCAAGTAGCGCTGCCCGCGCAGCCGAGGTAGTCCCGTAAGAAGGAACTCGTGGCGGGGTGGTCGCTCGGCGAGGCGTCGGGCAGGGAGTGGGGTGGGGCGTCGGGCTGGGCGTCGGGCTGGGCGTCGGGTGGGGAGTCGGGCCGTCGTGGTGAGGTGTCGCAGGCCGGCCGGGGGCCGTCGTGGGAGTCTTTGGGTGGGGGGGTGCTAGGTGGGGTATCGTGGGGGCCGTCGGATCGTCGGATCGGGTGGAGGGTCAGCGTCAGGGGGTCGTGGGGGCAGGCGTAGGGGAAGGCTGGGGCGTTGGGTCGTCGTGGCGAGGCGTCGTGGCAGGGCTGGGAGTAGTGGGAGCCGTCGGGGTGGGGGCTCGCGGGGGCCGTCGGGTCGGACGGGGGATCGCGAGGGCCGTCGTGAAGGCCGTCGGGCGCGAGGTCGTGGGGCAGGGGGTCGCAGGCGCAGGCGTATGAGGGTGCACGGGCGTCGGGCTGAGTGTAGTGCGGCGAGTCGGGCTGGGCGTCGGTGGGATTGTAGACGCGCGCGCTGGCGCTGGAGTCCAGGAGTGCATCGTGACCAGATTTGGCACGAGCTCTGGAGTGTCGGCATTCAGACTGAAGGGGCAGGAGTCCGCCGTCTGATCACTCATAGTGAAACTGCCGCGCTTGTGGTGGTGGAGCTGCTGATGCCCGTCGTCGTTCTTTTGGCCGTACGCCCGACGTGATCTTTACCCAACAGGTGGAACCATATCAATGTGACGTCTGCCATGTATACTTTGCTTCTCCCAGTCCGTGCTTTGTATCCAAGTCTTCGTGTGGCTTTACTTGTGGTGGTCGTGGCTGCCATCACCTGGTGGGCGGGTACCATCCTGATTGGGATGGGGAAGAAGAGCGCCTCACACTCTCGAGGCCCAGGCCCGGCTGGGCCCGTCACCGCCTCGCAGTAGTGCGCCGCGTGGTTGCGGCGAGGCTTCACCGCGGGCGCCGAGTCCGCCATGGCCCGGCGCCGCGCCTGGCGCCGCCCGTTCGCCCTGTGCGGCGGGGGCGAGCTCGGGCGCACGCGCCTCCCCCTCCTCGTCCTCCTCCTTCTGCTCCTCCTCCTCCACCTCCTCCTCGTCTTCCTCCTCCTCCTCCTCCTCCTCCTCCTCCTCCTCCTCCTCCTCCTCCTCCTCCTCCTCCTCCGCCGCGCCCACCGCCCCCCGCCCGCCCTGCCCGCGGAGGTGGTGCGGGGCGCGGTGAACACGCCGGAGGCCCTCCAGCGCGCCTTCGACCTGGAAGCCCAGGGGCAGCGTTAGGCGGGGAGAGGCTCAGGCTTGCAGTGGAGACCCATGGCAAGAAACACCCTGCTTGCCTCCAGGGCCCCTTGGGTATCTTGTGTCTCGATGGCTTTGCTGTGGAAAGCGTGACGTCCCCACACCGAACATCAGTGGACGTACTGGGGGTCTCAGGGTTGGGTTTCCTGTGGGAGGTTTCTTGTGGACTGGCCTCCGCTGTAGGGGACGAGAGGCTTCGAGGCTTCAGGCGTCCGGGCGTTTTCGCCGGCGCTCGGCGGTTTCCCGGCCTCGGGATGCGTGCCGGCAGCCGCGCCTCGCCGAGGGCGTCCGGGGTCGCCCCGAGCGGCCGCTGGAGACCCGACGTGGCGGCCCGAATGCCAAGGGGCAACGACGAGGGGGGCAGGCGCAGCGGGGCAGCGCGTCGATCCCCCCCCAGAGAGCGCCCATTCGTCGCCGATGGGGGGCCTGAGAGCCCCCGCCGCCCAGGACCGCGTGGCTTCGCTGCCGGGTGCCCTTCGCCGATCCGTCGGCGGCGCGTCGCCGGTTCCAGGTCAGCCTTTCCCCCCCCCCGAGCTGGCCCCCATCGCATCGCCCCCACTCAGAAGCTGGCGCGGAGATGAAAAGTTTAGCTCGCTCGCCTTCGACCAGGGAGCGCGCGCGTGGGCTCCGACGGCGCGAGGGTGCCCTGGAGCCAGGCATCTCTGTCCTCGGTGTCGGCCCCTGGGGGCCCGTCGGCGGACCTGGGGGCCGTCGAGAATAGATCTGGGGCGAACCATTTCTGGTTGACCCACAAGAGGGTGAGGGGTAGGAGGAGGAGGAGGAGGAGGAGGAGGAGGAGGAGGAGGAGGAGGAGGAGGAGGAGGAGGGAGGTGGGAGGGGTAGGGGGAGGAGGAGGAGGAGGAGGAGGAGGAGGAGAGAGGAGGAGGAGGAGGAGGAGGGGAGGAGGAGGAGGAGGAGGAGGAGGAGAGGAGGAGGGGAGGAGAGGAGGGGGGGGGAGGGGGAGGAGGAGGAGGAGGAGGAGGAGGAGGAGGAGGAGGAGGAGGAGGAGGAGGAGGAGGAGGAGGAGGAGGAGGATCTGGTTGACCCCAAAAGGGGAGTTCAGCGAAAAGGGGGTGGTGCAAGGGACATGGTGCAATAGAGAGGGGTTTCAATAGATTCGGGGTGTACAAGACGATCCAGGGCGCAAATGTGGTGCCGGATTCTCGCGCGCAAGACATTCGTCGCAACGCAATGCAATACAACTCTCCGGCGCAGTACATTGGCAACACAATTGCCCCAGATCTATTTCACCACCCCCTACGCCCTTGTGGGTCGACCAAATCATTGTCCCCTTGGAGAAGGGGTCGGGTGCTCGGGGGCCCAGCACTGAAAAAAGTCACGTCGTCGGATGTCTGGGCACGGAGGTTTTTTGGCGGGCCTCTCTTTTTTCGAAATGGGGGGGGTTCTTGGGATTTGTTCTCGGCTTCTCTGGAGGCCTCGGGGGGGGGAACTCAGGGGGGGTCTCTGGACACCCTCGGGGTGCAGCGTCGCGAGAAGATGCGGGAGGCAATTCCTCGAGGTGTGCCTCTCTCCTAAGGCCTGGAACTAAATTACCCCAGCGAAGCACCCGAACAGCAGCAAACGTGGAGAGACGTACCCAGGAGTAGGAGGTGGGCCGGTGAGAGCGTGCGGTCCTAGGAGTGGTTTTATGAATTCCTGGGCGTGACAGGGGTGGGAACAAGGCCAGGTGTACCGTAGTGTGTTTGCTGCAGGGGGCCGTGGCCGTGTGACACGGGTGAGAGCACGGCCATGAGGAGGAGGAGGAGGAGGAGGAGGAGGAGGAGGAGGAGGAGAAGGAAAGGGAGGAGGAGGAGGAGGAGGAGGAGGAGGAGGAGGAGGAGGAGGAGGTGGGAGGGCGACGAGGAGGACGAGGCAGGGGTGGGAGCAAGGCCAGGTGCACCGCAGCGTATTTGTTGCGCAAGGGGCCGTGGCCGTGTGACACAGGTGAGAGAGCACGGCCATGCGCACCGCAGTGTATTTGTTACAAGTGACCGTGGTTGGGTGACTGGGGCGAGAGCACGGCCATGAGGAGGAGGAGGAGGAGGAGGAGGAGGAAAGGGAGGAGGAGGAGGACGAGGAGGAGGAGGAAAGGGAGGAGGAGGAGGAGGAGGAGGGAGGAGGAGGAGGGGTGGAGGAGGAGGAGGAGGAGGAAAGGGAGGAGGAGGACGAGGAGGGGAGGAGGAGGAAAGGGAGGAGGAGGAGTAAGGGTTAAGAAGAAGAATACGCAGAATAAGAGAAGAAGATGAGGAGGAGGCCGTAGTGTGTTCGCTGCCGTGTGGCAGGGGCGGGAGTACGGCTCTGTGCACCGCAGTGTGTGCTTTTCGCCAGGGGTCGCGGCCGTGCGACGGGCACGGCCAGGTGCGCCGGAGCATGTGTTCTGCACGGGCGCTCGTGGCCGTGCGGCAGGGGCTGAGAGCACGGCCATGTGCACCACAGTAGTTTTTGTTTTTTGTGTTTATTATTAAAATATATACATATATATAAAAAAAAAAAAAAAAAAAAAAAAAAAAAAAAAAAAAAAAAAAAAAAAAAAAAAACGGTCCGTGTGACAGGCGTGGCAGCACGGCCATGTGCACAGCGGTCTTGTTGACCAGGGGTCGTGGCCTTGCGGGCAGCGGGGCGAGAGCACAGCGTGCTCGGCGCTCTCGAGGAGGACCCTCCCCAGCGAGACGCCGGTGGAGAGGAAGGACTCGGCAGGAAGAGCCGGTCTGGGGGAAGAGTCCCAGGGGCGGCCCGAGTCGTGACGTCGGAAGGGAGGGAGGTAGCATCCCCACCCCTCCCCGCTCCTTCCTGCCCCCCAGATCACGGAGTTGGGAAGAGTAGAGTTTGTATGTTGGGCTGTGCTCACCGGCAATCTCTGCGCACTGGTCTGCAATCGTCATGGTGCTCACCCGAGGCGTCCCGCCCGTCCTGGGCCCGAGACGGGACTTCCTTCCTGCTTCTCCTGCTCACACGTGGGCGGGGCTAAGACTGGGATAAATCGTTCCAGAGCGGAGCGTTCTGGGACGCTCTCAGAGCACTCTGGAACGCTCTGCGAAAGCTGCGGCGCCCAATCTATCCTCCAGAACCGCCGGATACCAGAGATCCCCGAATTAGCCCGGTCCGATGTTGTCGTTGTCTTGGCGTCGTCTTACACAGGGGATCTCATTGGCACGCATGTTCATTGTTGTTCCTCGGCTGGTCTTGCGCTGCTGCTAGCCGTGGATTCGTATCGCCTTTCGTGTGTGCGTGATGTTTGTTGCTCCGCCTCGTCGCTGCGCGCGAGGCCGCGGCCGACCAAAAGTGTGTGTGTGTGTGTTTGAGTGTGTGTGTGTGCGTGTGTGTGAGTTGTGCGTTGTGTGCTGTGTGGTGTGTCTTGTGTCCTGGGTCTTGTGTGTTGCGTGTTGTGTGTTGCGTGTTGTGTGTTGTGCGTTGTGTGTGTTGTGTGTTGTGTGTCGTGTGTCATGTGTTGTGCGTGTGCTCTGTGCCGTATGCTGTGTGTTGTGTGTTGTGTGTTGTGTCTGTGTGTCTGTCTGTGTCTGTGTCTGTGTCTGTGTCTGTGTGGGCGCGCGCGCGGGCGGGCGGCGGGCGGGCACGCGGGCGGTGCGTGCGTGCGTGCGTGCGTGCGAGCGCGCGCGCTTGTGTCTGTGGTGTGTGTGTGTGTGTCGTTGTATGGTGTGCGTGTGTTGTTGCGTTGTTGTGTTGCTGTGTGTTGTGTATTATTTGTGCGTGATGTGTGTTGTATGTTGTGAGGTGTGTGTGTGTGTGTTGTGTGTTGTGGATTGTGTGTGGTGTGTTGTGTGTTGTGTGTTGTGTGGTGTGTGGTGTGTGTTGTGTGTTGTGGATTGTGTGTGGTGTGCTGCGTGTTGTGTGGTGTGTGCTGTGTGCTGTGTAGTGTGTGATGTGTGCTGTGTGCCATGTGTTGTGTGGTCCTGGCCGCTCCCGGCTTTCCTTCGCTCCCCTGGCCGCGCGGGGCACGCGGTTGTCTCGGCTGCCCTCCCGGGCGGCCCTCGAAGAACAGGATACACGCACGGCTTGATAGTTTGCCCGCTGCGCCTGTGCCTACTCGTGCCCTAGGTTTATCGGTTGACCATTGTTTGATATGTTTGAGTATTTCTTGATTAGTTCAAGTTTTTCGCCCAAGATCCGCCTGCAGGAGGACATGCCCGACCTAGCCCTAGGTGGCCGCCTCTTGTCTAACCTGTGCACCGCGCCCTTGCGTGCGCTCTGCGCCGCCGTTCTCATTAGTTGTACGGCCGTAGCTTGCGACGAAGGCTCGTCGAGAAATACTTGGCAACGGCCACCGCTGACTTCAAAGGGGAAGGCCCAGCGGTGAGAATATCATCGCTGGATCTGGCAGCTCGTTGCGCGGTTGGAGGTGGGCTAACACTCCCCGACGAGCCTCAAGCGAGGGCGCCAATTGGAAGTTCACCCGCCCTCTACCCGCGTAGTTACTGGAAACGCTGCGCTTTATTCGGATTATACGCCGTACGGCGTATGGAATTCAAAGTCGAAGCGCCCGGTTGTCAACACGTTAGGCGGTATGAAGAGGCGGATATGCTATGGGGTTGAGGGGCGGGAAGCAGGAGGAGAATGAGAAGGTGGGAGGAGGACGACGAGGGAAGGAGAAGGAAGAGGGAGAAGGAAATGTGGACGGGACGAATGGAAGGAGGAGGCTTAAGTAGGGGGGGGGAGATTTGGAGGACGCGACGGTGGGAGGAGGAGGAGGAGGAGGACGACGACGACGACGACGACGACGAGGGAATGAGGAGGAAGAGAGAAGAAGAAGGAGGAGAAGGACGAGGAAAGGAGGAGGACTGAGGAAGGGATTTGGCTAAGGTGGCGAAGGGAGGAGGAGGATGAAAAGGGAAGGAGGAGGAATATGGAGGAAGAGGGAAGGAGGGAGGTTGAAGAGGGGGGAGGACCCGGGGAGGAGGCAGAATAGGAGGATGAAGAGGAGGGAGAGGAGGAGGCGGAGCAGGAGAAAATACAGAGGGATGGAGGAGAAGGAGGACGACGAGGATGCAGGAGAAAGAGGGAAGCAAGAGGAAGGAGGGGCAAGAGGTGGTGGGAGCAACGGTTCCCGCGACTGCGGCGCGCGACAGGAGGAGGAGAGAAAGCGCTGGGACGCTGAGCTGGGCGCCTGGGTGGACGTCCACTGCAACCTCAGGGAGGAGCCCCGGACCGCTTCATTCGCGTGGAACGAGCACATTACATCCGCATTCGTTGGCTACGCCTTCAATATGACATGTGGGTAAGATGTCCAGTTGTTGTGCGCTCTTGTTTTTTTATTATCGTTATCTCTCTCTCTCTCTCTCTCTCTCTCTCTCTCTCTCTTCCTCCCGTGTATATATATGTACACAGATACACTACACTACACACAGGTATACATCTGCATATATGTGTATAAATACAGATATGCACATACACACATGCATGCATGCATAATTACAGACATGTATACATACATGCATGCACAATTACATAACTGCACGCATGCATGCATGCATGCATACTTACATGCATGCACACATCAATACACACACATCTGGGAGACCCCGGGCCCGGGGCCCTCGGCCGGCCCCTCCCTTGAGTCTCGGTGCCCCTGCTCCCCGGGGGACCTCCCCGGGGCGACCCCCCCCCCGAGGTCCGAGAAAGCGCGAGGGTCTCCCAACACTGCCCAAGACAGGCTCCGACTGGCCCTCGAAGGCCCCCAAAAGCGCCCCGCGGGAGCTCCAGCACGGCCCCCAGGGTGGCGCCGCGACAGCCCAGAGGCGCCCCAGCACGCCACGAGTGGCCCCGAAGAGGGCCCCAAGAAGCAAACACCCTCCCATTCCGTGAAACGTATGTGGATTCGCCACTTGGGTTTTCACAGCGTCCAAGACAACCCGAGAGGCTCCCAAGGCGGCCCAGGAGGCCCCAAGAGAGCTCCAAGACGGCCCAAGAGGGGTCCAAGACGGCCCAGGAGGCTCCCAAGATGGCCCAAGAGAGCCCCACCCAAGGGACCCACAAATTGTTCCCCATATGCCCCCAAGAGGCCTCCACGATGCCTAAGACGCCCCCAAAGAGGCCCCAGAAACTGTCTCCAAGATATCTCCAAGATATCTCCAAAGCGCGCACGGTTAAACCAAAGCGTTGCAAAACACGTTGTTGTTCAATGAGTTCACGGTCCTGTGGATGACCTCCGATTTTTTTTTTCCAGACCCAGGCGTGGGCGTCCGTATGTTCTGTAATGGGAGGGAGAGGCCAAGCGAAATTGCGCATTGGTGCCATAGTCGGAGCTCCCTCTGGGGCATAATTCGCGTGACGGGTGTGCGGACATGGGCGGGGGGCGTTGTACGAACCATGTCTCTGGGCCATTTGATGATGTTATGTGTGGGCACGATCCGCGTGATGAGGTGTATCGCCATGGCCAGATGGGGGGGCGCAGTGGGAGTCCTGCCTCTGGGGCCGTGTGAGAGGTGTGCCGAAGTAGGCGGGGGGGGGGGCGGGATGCGAACCTTGTCTCTGGTGCTGTCCGTGGAACATTTTGCGGGCCACGATCCGTTTGAGAGGTGTGCCGCAGTGAGCTGGGAGACGCTAGAAAGCTGCATTCTGGTGCCACAAATGCAGGTGCTTGCGGGGCACAATCCACCTGAGGGGCGTGCCACTGTGTGAACCTTGTCTCTGGGGGCGTAGGTGTAGCTCCCTGTGGGGCACGATCCCTGTGAGGGATGTGCCGACATGGGCGGGGGGGCGCGAAGTCAAGTTTGTCTCTGGGGCTCCCTGCGGGGCGCCACCCACGTGACAAGATATGTCATCCGATCCCGAACATGTTTAGAATGCAGGTAACGCATGCTAGAACCTCAGCGCGCGTGGTTCTAGTGTGTATGTATTTATGTGATACCTATTCTTTTATATATATATACATAGATAAACACACATGTATATATATATACATACATACATACATACATACATATTTATAGGTATATATGTATGTATGTATACGTGTAAGTGTACGTGGGTCGTTCTGTATCCTTTTCTCAGGAGCGAGCGTCGGTCCTGACAATCGTCAGGCAGCGAGCGACTAGTGGCCGAAGCGTTCAATGGAGAGCCCGGTGCAATACGTCGACGGGCGAGAGCTATATCGCCCGCCGTCGAGCGGCGCGGTTGGCGGGTTACGCCTTCCTCCCCTTGTGCGTAGCATCGTGTATTGCCTCCCCCTCTGGAGCGAATCGGGATCGCGGGCTCTTCTGAAGGTGCCGAGGCGCCCCACAAGCTCAATGACAGTCCTGCAGCTCCCCAGAGGGGGAGCAGCGCCTGGCAAAAAAAAAAAAACACCGCGGGCGCTCCCGGGCGCGCCCGCTCGCACGCGGCGCACCCTGGCGCGCCCCGAGAGTGTTTCCGCGCACGCCCGCCCGCACGCGGCGCTCTCTGGCGCGCCCCCAGGGCGCTCTCGCGCGTGCCCGCCCGCACGCGGCGCTCCATGCCCGGTCCCGAGAGCGCTCTCGCGCGTGCCCACTCGCACGCGGCGCACTCTGGCGCGCCCCGAGGGCGTTCTCGTGCGTGCCCGCACGCTCACGGCGCGCTTTGTGGCGCGCTCAGAGCGTGTCCGTGCGAGCCCGCTCGGTCGCGGCGCAGTGTGGCGCTCCCCGAGGGCGGTCCCGTGCGCGGCCGCTCGCACGCGGCGCACTTCTGGCGCGCCCCGAAGCCCTGAAGAGCACCGCCGCAACCGCCGATTTGTACACATTACGCAACGAGCCCGCCGCAGGCGCCGAATTCTTCGTCAAAGCCATGCGGGTGGCTCGCAGGTAGCTCGCGGTTGGATCGCAGGGGGATCGTGGGCGGGTCGCGGAGGGGTCGCGGGCGGGTCGCGGACGAGGGCGGCGATAGCAACAAACAGGATGCGGAATCCGTTCCGCGGAATCCCGCTTCAACCACGCGCCTAGGGACGGTACAAGATTACTCGCCCCCCCTCTCTCATACACGCATGCGCATATGAATGTGTAACAACGTGAAATATATATATATATATATATATAAACAAATAGTTGTACATCTATATATATATATACGAAGACGCACATGCATGTAGGCATGGATATGTGGGTGCAGCCGTGTCAGTATGTGTAAATGTGTTGGCCGTCGGCCCATACCGCCACCGTGCCTGGATTGATGACCAGATCACCTGATCATCGACCCAGGCACGGTGGCGGAGGGCGTATCTGATGCCCCTTCGACGAAGGGGCATATGACGAAGGGGCATCCGAGATGCCCCTTCGAGGCGTTGTGGAGTCTCCTGGAGCCCGCATGGGGGCTGGAAATCCCCCTGGGGGCCCCTCTTGGGAGTCTCTTGATGCCTACTGGACGCCTCTTATGGACCTGGAGGCGCTCTCGGTGACCATCTTGGCTTGGAAAGCCCGAAGAGTGAGATCGTGCTATCCCTCTTCGGTCATCTTGACGCCCTGTTGGGCCCTCTTGGGGGCCTGGGAGGCAGGACGCCCGGCCCACTGTCATCTGTTCTCCCCTCCTCTTGCTCCAGCTCCTTCCTGCCTCTCTCCTCCTCGCCATTCTCCTCCTGCCTCTCATCCTTCCCCTCGTCCTCGTCCTCCTCATCCTCATCCTGCCCCTCATTACCTACTCCTTCCTCCCCGTTCCTCCTCGCCCTCCTCCGTCCTTCCTGTCATCCCTGTCCCCCTCGTCCCTCCTCCTCGTCATCTTCCTCCTCCCCCTCCTCCCTCCTCTCCCTCCTCCCCCTCCTCTTCCGCCTCCTCCATGATCCCTCCTCCTCCCTCCCCCTCTCTCGCCCTTCCCCCTCCCCCGCGCCCCCGCACCCCGCCAGGAGGCCGAGCAGGCCAACGCCGAGGAATCCGACGCCGAGGAGCCGGACGGCGAAGGCGAGGTCCCGCTCGTTGGCGGTTGGCCGTTGGCTGGCTGCCGCTCGTCCTGGCTCTTCGGCTGCGCTTCCGCATGCGCGCACGCACGGACGCCAGTCATATTCCTCCTCTTCTTCCTACTACTACCTACCTACCTACCTACCTACCTACCTACCTACCTACCTACCTACCTACCTACCTACCTACCTACCTACCTACCTACTACCTATCTACCTACCTACCTACCTACCTACCTACCTACCTACCTACCTACCCTACCTACCTACCTACCTACTACCTACTACTACTACTACTACTACTACTACTACTACTACTACTACTACTACTACTACTACTACTACTACTTACTACTACTACTACTACTACTACTACTACTACTACTACTACTACTACTACTACTACTACTACTACAACTACTACTACTACTACTACTACTACTACTACTACTACTACTCACTACTACTA